TATTAAATTCTTTTACTCACTTGGAGTCAGTAATGAATCCACTGTTAGTTGTTCAGTTGACGTGTCAACAAATTTGACCTGCTGAGCTCTGAAACTTGTGTCTTGTCTTTTAGAAGCTAAAAAATAGAAAGAAGCTTTTATTTTAATAACAGTGTAATCAACAAGAGGATAACACGAATGATTACTATTCATGTTTAACATCTTTTTTTATGAGGTGTTCATGCTTTTCAACGCAGTTAATAAGAGATCAAAGGCTGAGTAGCCCCCTAAAACACTTTTTGAATGATATTCAAAACATTCTCACCATGAACTATGTCCCACATCTTCTCCACAAGACTGTCACACTGCTTCTCCCAGCTAAACTTCTCTTGATATGACCTCCTCAGCTGTTTAATAGCTTGAAGTCGGTCTGATCTTTCCTTCTGTCGGACACCAGCAATTGCCTTTGCCCACTCCTCAGGGTCCTCAGACTCCACCACGAATGATTTGCCTGATGGCAGAGTGCACAGTGCTTCACCAAATCCTGAGTTGCCACTGACAAGAACGGGAAGACCAGCAGACAATGCTTCTAAAGCCGTCAAGCCAAACCCCTCTGTTCTAGAGGGCATGATGCAGAGATCTACTTCACAAAACAATTCTTTCAATCTCTCTTTGTCTAGCACAAATTTCTTCACGGTCAGCTGCTTTTTATCAATTCCACTCTTGAGTAAATTCTTTGCAACCTCATCCTGTTTACCAGCAGGTGCACCCACGAAAGTCAGATGGTAGGACCTGTCTTTCAGTTCAACTATTGCTCTGGCAGAGATATCATAGCCCTTCAATTTGAAGTCCTCTGGGTCACCACGGCCAAACGTTAGAACCTTAAAGTGGTCCATGTCAACAGCAGCTTGTTTAACTTCGGAAAATTCAATGAACGTGCTTGGTGTCAGTTGAATTATATCTTGGTGCTTCTCGCATGAGCGCAGGTAAGAAGAGTAGGCCTTCGTCAACTTTGGTCCAACTGCTACCACAGCATCTGCCAACTTACACAACTCTACCTCAGTTGTACTCTTATCTTCACCTTTGCAAATGGCCATGGGATAGTCTTTGTACATTCCTAGTTCTTCGGGTGCAGTGTGCACTACCTGAATCCACTTGCAACTGTGATACTTTCTGATAACTTGGGCTTGCTTACCAAGCTTTGCACCATGACCCAGCACAAAGTCAATGACAAGGTCTCTTGGTGGGAAACTCAACCATTCAAGAGGATCACTGAAGCCTGCAAGTTTCTTGGCTTCCAGGATGGAAACATTGTGACTTGATGCCATCCTCTTCTCTTCTTCAGAACAGGCAGACTGTGGGACAAGGAGAGTAACATCCACTCCAGAGTGTTTGGCCAACAGAATGGCAAGCTGTCTGTTGATGGTGGACAAGCCTCCCATTGACGAACTCCACTCACTGCCAAGGAGAGTTACCTTCAAGGCTGTGGTAGACTTCTTTGGATTGATTTCACTTGCTTCATCATGTGATCTAGCAGCTACATTTGAAGAGGACAAACCCTGAAGAAAGAAAGGTCATATAGGATTATGACAATTACATTTTAAAAAAAAAACTTAATGTGTGGTCATATAAAATTTTTATTGATCAACACTTTATCAAAGAAGAACAAAAGAGTATAAAATTAAAAAATAATTTCATCTTGTTAGAAATTCTCTGACTTGTATTTAAAAGTGAAGACAACCTATTAGGGCTCCCTTTCTCAACACTGATAACAGTCCAATTGAAATTCACCTTAAGTAAATTAGGGGAGCAAAGCAAAGATGAAACTGAGGCCAGAAATCTTTTCATGAAAAATCACTATAATCAATTATACCTGGCTTCTTCTTTTCAAGAACCATTTCTTTAATCCACAAACTGGTTTTACCATATTGCAAGGTTTTCGCTTACAGATGTCCGGCTGACCTTCATTTGCATC